AATAAGTGTATGTAATATGTGATTCCAGTAAAGGAAAAGGAAAACCAAAAAAAAATTTTTTAAAAATGAATACCTTCAATGTTTTAGGTAATTTGATGAAAGTAAATACACCAAAAAGCCGTCATACTCCATTCTTCTTTCTCAGTTTTTCTTTTGAAATTAAAAAGGGAAACATGAAAACTGTTTGCTGGTTTAGAGTAGAATAATTGAATTTCTTATATTTTCTTCTGAAAGCCTTTAAAAGTATATCTACCTATGACAAAATGGTAAATAAAAACAAATGAAAGAAAATGAAAATCTGTGAAAACTTCAAGGGGGTAAAATTTTAGATTTTACTTTTTGGTAAGTTCTGTGTCCCATCTTGATGAATTGACTTTTTATTTTTCCTTATTAATAAACTTCTTTTATTATTAGAGACAGCCTAATTGTCCTAATGTAAAATCATTAACGTAAACTTCCCACAAGGGAATATAGTGTGTTCACCAGACAGGGAAGGAAAAGAGGAAGAATTCCACTTTTTTCTCAGCCTGAATTTATGTTCACATTCAAAAATCCCCCTGCTAAGATGCCCAGTTTCAACTTGTAAATCCACAGATTTCGATATGGTTATGAGAATTTTGGAGTTTTCAATTGTGTAAAGTGGCAGCACAACCCATTGAATTCATACACAAAATAGTCAGTACATGGTGGTTATAAAACAAATGTTATTGAGGGAATGGCTTTGTGTGGCCAGATCTGCGATCAGGAAATGCAAGTGCGGAAAAATAACTGCACAGGATTTCAGTGGTGTTTACATAGGCCAGTCAGGGTTGTGGAGGGGGGCTCCGGACAAGCTGTGTTTACTTTCATTAATCCTAAAGGCAATAGATGCCTTGGGTCTGGAGAGAACTGGAGAATCAAACTCATTAATATGATTAAGATAGTCTATTAACATAAATATTTTAATTTTTTCCCAATCAGTTTAGGTTATTTCTGAAGGAACCTGGTCAAGAATCTATATTATCCCTAATCGTTCCACAACACTCATTTAGGATATATCATTCAGAATTTCTCTTGGCAACTCTAAAAATGACTGAATTTTTTAAGTCTTAATTTTTTAATGATATATGTGTGTATGTACATGCACATTATACATAATTTATATGTATAAAAATATATATTTAAGTTGAGGTGGAGTACTTTAAGTTATAAAGAAGACAAACTAGACAGCTAGTGAAGCCTGCAATTAAGAAAATAGATGGATTAGTCAGATTTTATGATAGGCCTAATCAATTGAGTTTATATAATGTATGTTTGAGAGCAAGAAATCAGATGCTCTATGTTTGAATCCTGGTCCTACCAGTTAAATAACTATGCAACTTTGCCAACACGCCTTAATTCCTCTGAGCTTCAGTTTTGTTGGACTTATAAAATGGAATCATAAATAATACCTGTCTCATAGGGTTGCTTTGAGGAGAATTAAGTGAGTTAACATATGAAAAGCACTTAGAATTTTGCCAGAGAAAAGTAGGAATTTAATGTTATTATTTTAATGTGCATACTTTATAAAGTACTTATCATGCATGAATCAAATATATAATCACCTGTCAACACAATTAAGTATTTGTAATAGTACATCTTAATAAAGATGTTCAGTTCCTAGTACAGAGTTAGCATTCAATAATTTTTGCTAGATGTATAAGTGATAAAAATGATTAAATGTGGATATGAAAAATTTTAGTAAGAATTATTCACAGGTATGGATTAAGAAAAGATAGTGACTGACAAATCTTTTTGAAGACATTTCAGTATTGCAGACTATTTTAATACTTATTGACATACCCAGAAATTTAGTGAAAGTACATGAGTTTGCATTTCACATTAAGTCTTATCTTGTTAAATAAATTGTCTGCATTCAATTTTTTAGAATTGGAAAAAAATAATTTTCCTACTGTTCGTTATATTATGATTCTTATCCTTAATATGGCTTTCCATTGATCTCACCACCTTGATAACTAAGTCTAAAACAAATAGAAACTTTAAAAATCATACTACCATATGTTTGTTTTCTAAGTACACCTGCCTATAGGAATAGTCATGTAGCAACCCAAGTTTTCCATTAGCTTAAAAGTGGTCACATTAATTCTTCCTATGTCATGCTAAAAAAAAATCAAAAACATAAAATTTAAATGGAATAGCTTACCAAACCTTACTAATTTTGTAGTTATTATAAAATATTTCAAACTTACTGAAAATTATAGAAAACACCCTAACAAATACCTGTGTGTGTGCTGTCCAGTTTTATCAAATCTTGCTACATTTTGCTATATTTGCTTCAGATGTTTTTGTGATAGAAGGTATTTTACAGGTATCCTAAAATCCTCTGAAATCACTTCTCTGTCCACCTAAAAAAAACTCACTAAATTAAATTTAATATTTATAATTTATAAGTTTTCTTATGATATTAATATATATGTATGTCATATAAACATGTATGCATAAATAATTTATGGTATTATTTCATATAATTTTATCTTTATATCATGATATCTTATTATATTTATCCTTCTGCAAATTTTTGATCTAGAGGTTTTTCGAGATTTATCTATCTTGATATATGGAGGTTTATTTAATTCATTTTAACTGCTGCTTACTATTTCATTGAATCAATATCATAATGTATTTATTCATTCTCTTATTGACTTACTATTAGGGACAATATTGTGATGAATGATTTTGAACAAATTTCTTATGTACAGGTGGGAGAATTTTTCTAGAGTAGATGTGGAATTAGTAGGAATAGAATATTCTGGAAGTTTGGGTATATAAACTTAAACTTCATTAGATACAGACAAATTTATATAAAAAGTGTGTGTACAGACTTATACAGTACTTTCTGTCCACAGACTATAAGAGTTCCTCTTTCTTTAAATTGTTGTCTGTACATTTCCCCGAAATTTTTCACAATATATCTGGAATGACAGAATTGTCAAATCTTGTTCTTATTTGTATACACTTAAAGAGGTTGGTTAGATGTGAAAAGAGTGTTGCTTTATTTCTTAAATTGTTTTCAGTTCACAATGGTTGATATGTGAGATGTTATGAGACAAACTCAGTGGTTCTCAGTCTTGGCTACACATTAGATTTACCTGGAAGTTTTCAAAAATCCTAATGTTCAAGCCTCACCCACAGTAATTAAATCAAACTTTCCTTGGGGTGCAAACAGAGGTGGGAGGGATTTGGATGGAGTTTGAACTGCTCCACCTCACACCTCAGATCCCCAGGGGACCCCATTATATGGTCAGTATCAGGAATCACTACCCTGCACCTGTCTGGTAAGAGAATAAAACCAGAGAGACAAGAAAAATATTTGGCTGCAGGGCATCTCCAAAAGTAGGTGGTAAGCTGAAGTTTGATTCTCAGTAGTTTTATCTAGAATATATAAGTAAATTAATGCTAAGGAAAAAGTATTAGGCATTCCAGGATATGGCAATGCCCGAGATCAGAAATTGAGCAAGTTAGTCTGGCTATAGTTTGGATTAGAACTACAGATTACAAGGGTGAGGATCCAGTCCATTTAGGGAAAGGCAACTTGTGAAGTGCAAACGTGTAGCAGGACCCCAAACAGGCTGGTTTTCAGGACTCTAATGCTTACCAGAGATGAAGAGTTATCTAGGACCTGAGACATAAGCCTAGACAGAAAATTGAGAAAAAGCAGTGTTAATTTAGAGAAAGGCCTTGCCTGTGTGGGTACCGTTTGCTAATAGCAGATAGCAGTAATCTAATTCCAACCCCTTCAGCTGGCTAGTGCCAGCTATAGATGTTCTGCCAGACTTAATTAGGATAGGTTTTGAAAATAAGTTGTTTTTAAATGTGTGGAATGTAATCGTCTAAGTATTGCTTAAAGAGAATGGAAAAGTCAGGGATTAACACAAATGCCCCACATTATAATGAAGGAGGAAAGATTTTGATTTGGTTCATCAATTGTAACATAAGCTATTGCCATAAACCAAGAATTTATATTTAATTAATTGCTTTATAACTACATTAAATATCATACTTTACCAAGACTGTCAGAATGTGCGTTAAATATTAGGTAACAAATGTTTATGGAATTTTAGCATAGGGTGAAAATAACAACAGCCATTCTTCATCTTTTTCTCGGTCAATACAATCATTACAACTTTTTATAGAAAAAATGAATTAAAAGACCATTTAGTTTTCCTGCCATGATTAGATGCAAAACTGTAGGAAAGTTAAGTACCAAATTATTATTTGTGGGCAAGAAGACATTGATGTTACCATATAGTTCACATAATTATCTCTTAAGCTCCGGAAAGACTAAGATTTCTAGAATTATGGTATAGTTAGAACACCTATGGGCATTTCTTTTAAAAAATGATCATTAGGGAAAATAAAACTAAAGACATCCAACATATTTTAAAATTGTCATTGTGCATTCAACTTAAAATAAGGCTTAAGACATGAGGATGGCCAGGCGCGGTGGCTCACGCCTGTAATCCTAGCTCTCTGGGAGGCCGAGGCAGACAGATTGTTTGAGCTCGGGAGTTCGAAACTAGCCTGAGCAAGAGCGAGACCCCGTCTCTACTAAAAATAGAAAGAAATTAATTGGACAACTAAAAATATATTGAAAAAAATTAGCTGGGCATGGTGGCGCATGCCTGTAGTCCCAGCTACTCAGGAGGCTGAGGCAGGAGGATCGCTTGAGACAGGAGTTTGAGGTTGCTGTGAGCGAGGATGACGCCATGGCACTCACTCTAGCCTGGGCAACACAGTGAGACTCTGTCTCAAAAAAAAAAAAAAAAAAAAAAAAAACATGAGGATGATGAGATGATTATATGTGCCGTGAAACAAAATATCATCTTGAAAAGTCTGCATGTCCTTTATTTTGACTGTGAAGTCGTCAGTTAAGGTGAATAACCAAGATAACTCTTTCTTTTCTTCCAATTCAGTGCTGAGTACAAGAGAAGGACTAAGTATGTTCAGAAAAGTCTTAATCCTGAGTGGAATCAAACAGTAATTTATAAAAGTATTTCCATGGAACAGGTATGTAATGACTATATCTAGGTGACAGATTTAGACTAACATAAGTATAGTATTAACACAATTATTCAAAGATTGGGACCCATATAAATTTTGCCATACAAAAAGTTGCATAAAATACATGTAAGAAATGTAGCCAATGAAAAGATATAGGCAAAGTTTAAACATAGGGTGAAAGTAAATGTGCACATTTTGACAAAGCAGCCAAAAAATAAACAAACAAAATAAGAAGACCAGTGAAACATTTTCCATTGATTATTTCAAAATTTAAAATTTTCAATTAGACTGAGCCGTATTTGTCATATTTGGGGGGAATATATTTTCAACCGGCTGTATTTTAATTTTCATTAACAGTACAAAGGAAAGAAATAAGATTCAATGAATAGAAATATATTACTCTATCAGACAACATTTTAGGAACTTTTCTCGTCTCTAAATTGAGGCCTAAACTATACAGAATAAGGCAAAATGATGACTAGTGTAAAGGATTATCACCAGAAATAAGTGACTCTAGGCAACATTTCATCAATCTTCTGAAAATCTACACTTCCTAACTCTGCAAGAGTAACAGAAAATAACTGATAATTTATAACATTGAATTCAGAGTGAAAAAAATACAAATAGAACAGGAAGAAGGCATCCATGTAAAACAATTTATAAAGCAGTTGTCTTTCAAAATGAGGCTTTTATTTTGTCCTCTGGTAGATTAATTTGATTATAAAGTTGAAGCTGAATATAAATTATCATCTGGGTTCTTGAATTTAAGATAAGTTAAACTCATCTACAGAAATCAGACAATACTACTATGTTTTTTGGAAATTATTGAAACAAAACATTTGCAATCTATGAAATTCTTATATTTTAAGAGTATTTAACAATTGTGCTTTCTATTTTCAAAATGAGGGAGTTAGAACAATAGGAAATGAGTTAAGAGTTACTACCATTTTGCTCACAGAATACTGAGGTCCCTTATAATCAAACTCTAGATTGAACTGCAAAATCACTGAAATTTAAAATAATATTTAATATAAATCCACATAGTTTTAGGTAAAAATTCCAGTATTTTTACATAAATGGAAAGGGTATAAGGAAGTGAAAATAAATATGTCTATTGTATAAGTGTAGTAAAAATTTGCAATGGAAAGATGGGGTTAATGAGATTTTTATTTGAACTGTAGCTCAAGAAGAAAACACTGGAGGTGACAGTTTGGGATTATGATAGATTTTCTTCCAATGACTTCCTTGGGGAGGTGAGCCTCTGATTTTCTTTCCCTTATTTGCTGCCATTTAAAACCACCATAAAAAGCATGATGCAAAGCATATTTTTTAAGTTCATAAGAGCCATTTCTGAATAAAATCTTTTGGCAGGTAGAATTTATTTCCCGATTTACTCTTTGAATACATGAATAGCAACTCAAGAAATGGTTTTTATTCTACCCCTTGATGTACTTTATAATAATTTATAAAATTAAATATTAATTGTTTCAATAGGAAGATATATAATCATGCTGTGAATCCAAATGAGATTTGAGGGTAACAAATTTATTATATTATAAAAGGAGCTGGAATTTTAAATATGTATTTCCAGGTTCTTGAATTGCTGTTCCTCACTGCATGTATGAATGACTTGATGTGACATTTTGTACTGTTATTTATGATTAAGTATCCTGAGAAAAATAGAAAAATCTCTCAAATATTTTAAGAAGCAAAAGTAGAAGTAGGAGAAAGCAATAAAAATATTTATATAAATGTGTGAGGAATCAAAATAACCTAATCATGAAACTAGTAGAGTGATCAGAACTCATGAATTTTTTTTCTGTTATGTTTCAAAAATATGTATTTTGTTTAGTGCTCTGAACAGAGCAGAAATTATGAATCATGTTTAATATAAAAAATCTAAAACCTACAAAATATGATATCCTTTTGATAGAGACTAAAACGGTTGTGTAATCGAAGTGATAATGAGGGCTTGTTTGGTTTTTAAGACTCTGTATATCTCTTTTCACCCAAAACTAGACCATTTGACCTTCATCTTCAGGCTCCATCCTAGTGCATCCACTTTGACTAATCTTGAACTTAGGTAGGGCTACTCTAAGATACAGTATTACATCTGACTTCATGTCTAATTTCAAAAAACTGACCTATTGAAGTCCTTCTAATTTATTGTCTTCTTATGTTTACATGAGCCTAGAGCATATATCCATTGGGCTGGTTTCCATTTCTTTATACATTATCGAAACTAAGATGCCAGCAACTGTAAAATGAACTGTTATTTGTATACCATTAAGAAAAAAAAATGCTGCCAATTAAACTGTGACACAGTGCTTTCTCATCATCTGTTGTTAAATCCCTATTTCAAATGTAAACTAAGTGTGTTTTAAATTAGAAGAAATAAGTTAGTAATTGCAGATTATCTATTCTTTTCCATTTTGTCCCTTTTGTGATTAAAAGCAAACATTTTTCAAAGTTGCTAGCCACGTTTAAAACTACAATGAGTTCTTATAACAGAAAAAATGTTTTGTTTTATGAAAACATTGACCTGTAACTCTTCCTTTTAACATCATATCCAAATAATTTAGTTAATAGTCAAAAATTTTATATAGTTCAATTTAATCATTTATCAAACATCTGATATGTGCAAGACATTGTTTCTAATATCATGGATAAAGAAAAATGAGAAAGATAGCATCATCCTCCTGAAAGATTATACTACATCCTTTGTTTTATATATCCTTGAATAAATTTTAGATCATAGAAAATAGTATTGAATACATTATAACTTAGTCCATAAATTTCATTGATTTATTATACTTTATTTTCAGGTATTGATTGATTTATCTAGCACATCCCACCTTGATAACACTCCAAGGTGGTATCCTCTCAAAGAACAGACTGAAAGCATTGATCATGGCAAATCCCATTCCAGTCAGAGCAGCCAGCAGTCCCCAAAGCCATCTGTTATCAAAAGCAGAAGCCATGGTATCTTCCCTGACCCATCGAAGGGTAGGAAATATTTCAAGTAGAAAAAGTTTTTGTCTGTTTGTTCATTCGGTATCTTCTTGAATGCAAATACCTATATATTTAATATATATTAAAGGTCAGATGCTATTGGAAAATATTGAATATAATATAATATAATGCAAAGAGTGATGGATGTGGAATCAGGAGAAATGGGCTTTAGTCTTAGATCAGCACATACTTAGGTATATGACTTTGTAATCTTCACTTCTTGGATTCTCCATTTTTCAACCTGTGAAATGGAGGAGGCTGGGCTATATGAGCTATTTGGGTTTATTCCTCTCAAAATCCATGATAACATAGTTTTAGAAAATGCATTGGAATATTTTATTAAAAAAATATAAAAATCCCTACCAGTTCATAAACTAGACATAATCATCATTACTATTTATGTATATTCCTTCTAATTGTTTGCATCTTTGTTTATAAAATATAGTCTTATCCCATAAATATAATCTTGTGTGTTCCTTTTCATCTATCATATAGATAATATTTCCTGTATCATCAAAACAATTGGTATGCTGAAGTTTACTTAAGTGTTTTTTAAATGTTGGACTCAAGCCAATTTTTTAACTATTATTATTATTTTTTAAATAACAGTGCCATACATTGGGTTTGGCCATAAACACAGCATTCCCATTTGAATAAGCTTTTCCTTTGGGAGGTTCATTACCACTGTCCTACAACATGGCATTAATCCTCATTGTCAGCTGAGTTACTGCCTGTATAGGATAACCATGTGGTATCTTATCTAGATATACTGAACTATATTACATACAATCATATTACATATAATTTTTCATATCAGACTTGAGTATTGCTTCCTTATCTCCTTTTTTCAGAAAGTACACCAAATTGGAAAGTGGTTCTTTGTACATGAGAAGAGAATGAATCATAAGTGCAAGTGTTCTAGGAGATGGGAAACTGAGTCCATATCCAGTAGGCCATTGAGTTGAATGGTAAACCTATGACTACAATGAATGCTGTAGATTATTTATGAATGAGTTTCATAGATCATTTATGGATTTTACTTAGCCATGTCAACTCTGCCCTGCTTAACATTCTGCAAGATCATGAGTATAAAGACCTCTCTCTCTATGACTACCTTAGGAAATGAATAATCTATACATTCTCTAAAATTGTTTGAGATAATGATTCTACAATCTCCACATTTAATATGTCCTAGTGACTCACACCCCTTCATCCAAGAACTCGCTATGTTTTTACTCAAAATTCTCCCTGTGGCAGTATAACCTATTGTCTCCTCCCTGACCTCTAGTAGAATTAACAGAGTTACTTGGTGAAAAGAAAAGTTAATACAGTCATTACTTGAGGCTAGTTAGAATATATTTCTCTTTGCAAAGTTATCTCTTCTCATGACTATCATCCTTTTGCTTTTCCTCCCAAAAATTGTTTCCTAAATGCTTAATCACACTTCTGAATAGTGAGCAGTTGCAAAAATGAGCCATAAAAGACACAGAATTAACATAAATCTTAGACAGTTTCAAATTATATGTAGACCAAGCTTGACGGGAGGAATGCTGGAGCAACTTTAACTCGTGTTTTACCCTTTTGTAACCAGACATGCAGGTTCCCACCATTGAGAAATCCCATAGTAGTCCTGGTAGCTCAAAATCATCATCCGAAGGCCATCTCCGTTCGCATGGACCGTCTCGCAGTCAAAGCAAAACCAGCGTCACTCAGACCCACCTGGAAGATGCAGGGGCTGCCATAGCTGCTGCCGAAGCCGCCGTGCAACAACTCCGCATTCAACCAAGTAAAAGACGCAAATAAATTCCTCAGCATGGCAGCTTAATGTTCATCTGTTGCCTTTCTTTCCTGCTGTCCTTCCCTGTTTGCTTTCTGTTTTTGGCATCCTCTGCTCACTCTGTTCACTGTCCCTTTGTCTGTGTAAGAATAGTATCAATACATAAATATGCTCTTTCTTATTTAGATTTTCTTTTAATTTACATAGACTGAAATAAAACTGGCTGTTTCTCCTTTGTTTCCACCATCCATCCAACCTGGCTCATAGTATTTGGTAGCTGTGTCTGTGATGTTTGCAGGCAAAGCAATGTTGTGTGTCCCTTTTGTGTGCGCTTAAGTATCCTTTAGAATACAGAAATTATAAGCATAAGTGGCTGCCAATTTTCCAGGCATTACACCAAAAAAGCACACACACAGTATTTAGAGAAGATTAGCAATGAGATTCTTGTACCTGTAAACACTCAAAAATTTTAGGCAGAAGCGTAATAAGACCAAATGTCAAGTTCTAGGATCTAAGGGGAGAAGCCATTTCAAGACAATGCTTAAAACATTAATAAATTATGCATGTGAAATGTTATAGCTTTCCATGTGCAAAAATTTCTAGTCTTCTGAAAAATCTGTGAAGAAAATCATATTTCTTATATTCTCAAAAAATGCATAATATTAATATATGTGTAAGCATATGTGATGAGGCACTGTAACCTCATTAAGGAGCACAATTGGGTCCATTCTGTTGGATCACACTTTGTATATGATAACAGAGATTTTATAGATTATTTTTTCTCCTAACCATTGGAAATCCTTTGAAAGTCAAGATGTGCTATGTCTAGTAGCTGTAAATCAAAGTATCACAATTTACCCACCTTAACTGCTGTATTTTCATTTATTTGTAAAAATCTAGTCAATTGATGTAATTGTATAAAAACTTAAGAAGTACAGATATTTCAAAAATGTAGGTGGCCTGTTACTCATAAGAGGCATTAGCCAGGCAATGGAGCTAGATTGTCTCCTGAGTCATCATTTCCAAAGAAACAGCCAGTTTTAATCCCCTTTAGTGCTGTGCATGTGGTGTCATTTTGGCATTTGAAAATACTACTTATTTAAATAGAGCAAAAGAACACTTCTGTTTGCATGAATAACATTTAAGCTGGTTCCATCTGAGGATACATACTCTGGGTTTCCATCTCACCCACACTGCCACAGCAGCACATAAAAGCGGTCAGTCTAATCATGCCAGGAAGCAGCACAGACACAGCATAGCAGGAGTCTTCCCCATTCAAAGAACTCAGTCTGATAATCTGCCTCCACCAGCCAATGGCAACCAAGACCAAAGCCAGCTAGCCCTCAGGAAGGTGATGTCTGATGGACCAGTCAAGCCAGAAGGAGGTGAGCAGAAAGGCCCTGTTCAAAGCACACAGCAAGAACATCCCCAAATTTAAAGCTCTCATCTTTAATTTTTAGAGATTGTCTGATAAAATATGTTTATCCACTTTTTAATGTGCTTTTGTGGGCATGACATTTCAGGACTTCATCATCACCATGTAAGTCCCAAGATCAGTCCCGTAATATATCAACTACAGTGATTTGTATTTTTCTATGCACTGGGCATCTTTTGACTTTTGTTGGGAAATAGATTAACAATATTCATATTGCAGAATGGAATGCATGCTACTAACCTAATCTGTTCAAGCATGACTATAAATATGTTGCATTGTGATAAAAGTTTAAATTGCTCACAGTTCAAGTTAGCATACCAGTTGGAATGTAGATCAGTATTTGTTGCGTATTATTTCAAGTGTAACTTTTAAAAAAATATATAGTGGATTTTGGAAATTCTTAGAGGAAAGTAAAGGAAAAATTGTTAATGCACTCACTCACCTTTACATGGTGAAAGTTCTCTCTTGATCCTACAAGCAGACATTTTCCACTCGTGTTTCCATAGTTGTTAAGTGTATCAGATGTGTTGGGCATGTGAATCTCCAAGTGCCTGTGTAATAAATAAAGTATCTTTATTTCATTCATAAACTACTGGGTTCTGAGCCATTGTTATCTGATGCAGCTTAAAATGAGTGTGTCAGTTTTTGTTTTTTCATTTGATTTCTTGCAATAGATTCTAGTTACTTCTCCATTGCTAGTGAGAGCTGTAATAATAGAACATTTGGGAGAAGAACAAAGTTCCATGCTGGAAACATTATAGATGGAAGATTATTACCAAGTAAAAGCGTCAGAGCTTACATAAAAATATAAACGATGGGGTTGGGCCACCCTACGCAATGCTTCCACTATTTCTCTCTCCCATACCTAATCTACTTTGGTTCTTGGGTAAAGGAAGATAAATTACATGAGCCCTTGCTTTGGAGATGTACCTAACCTTGATCCTAGAGCTGTGTTCAGAAGGAAAAGCAAATTTACATCTGTCCCTACCCTGACCCCAACATTTGTGGAATTTTCCCCAAGAAAGAGTGGCACTGCCAGTGACAGGAATCAAACTAGAGTGATTATAAATTATCTTCAAATTTAACTCAAAAACACATATAAAATAAAGTTTTTTAAATAAAACTAGGATACTGTTGTTTGCCCCCTGTAAGTACTTTCCAGCCCTAAAATTCTTGAGTTTATGATTCTATATTTGACACAAAATGAAAATCGAGCCTTATACTTTCCTATTGCATTTCTCTTTATGCTCATAAAATTGAAAACATTTAATATGCTCTTCTCCCAATTAATCAGATATTTGGGGGCAATGTATGTGGCAATACAGAGGGAAAACCACTAAGATGTTTCTTAAATTAGCCAGGTAATTTAAGAAAACAATTAGCTTAAACATTAGCATAATTCTGTATATGTATTTACTCGTCCCAGTTTCTAGATTATCACCAAAGCATAATTTCCATTTTATTGCTAGCCTGCTAATATTTTCTGAAAGTACTTAAAATTCTACCTCTCACTTTTTTCCTTCAAATAAGTTCAGTTGATTTCTTCATGTCATTCATTTTCTTACTTGAAATATTCTATGAATTATAAATGTAATAATCAAACACTTCCCTGATTTCACATCTTATTTTAATTATTGTGATTTAAGTATTACTGTATGATATTTGTATGATTTTTTTCCTAGATGTGGTTCTTAAATTATATCAAAATATTTTAATCCCTTTGAATTATGCTCTAATAGATATTCTCATATATTTAAGTGTTATAAGTGAATTAGAAGTCATTCTTTATTGACATCACAATCAAAAGGAAAACTAGATAACATCATGCTTCCTTATTTAGATTTGTTCTTACAGATAATAAAAATCTCTGTTTTCTAAAATATAAATCATTTCACTGCTACTGTCAATGTACCAATAATATAATTGATCTCATGCATTTTGGGAAACACCCAATAGCAAACACACTGTAGGATTAAATTTATGTTGAAGTGCAATACAATTTGTTTAAGGCATGGAAAGAAAAATTGGTCAGAGATATAAACATATAAAGAGCCAGCAACTTCCTGTTCACTAACTATAGAAATAAGTATTGGTAATAATTTTAAGTGTTTGGTTAAAAGTCTACCATTTCAAACCTCACAATGGAGTTCATATAATCCCATCTGCATTCGGGAAATAACACTCTGCATTTGAATAGTTCTTCATGTTGTACAAAGTGTTTTGTCATCCATTTTCTCATTTTATCACAACAAGTGGATGAGGTATTCATTCCAATATTCTTATCCCTGTGTTATGGGTGAGCAATCAGGAGAGTCAGAGGGGCAGGATGGCTGATATGAGAACACACAGCTAGAAATTTTCAGAACTAGCAAATATACTCTTGTCTTGTGACTCCTAGAGTAACGGTTTTTAAATACATGATCTCCTTTGAAATCAAACTCTCCTGATTTCAATAAAAACAATGTACTTGTTATTTATCACTCATGTTCTTACAAATGATTAGAGGTAGCTAGAAATGATGGCAGAATACAATTTATACTCTCTCTACCTACATGATCTTCCTCTCTAAAGGCTGGTGATTCAAACCAATGGAAGAAAACCTTCCCACTGCGCAATCCCAGCGAGGCAGTAAGCAGAGTTCTTAGAGGAGGCTACATGTACATCTGCAAGGATTTCTATCAAGGGTGACAAAATTGTCCCTAAAGAGCTTTTCAGATGTTTTTTGTAAGCTTCTCAGCAGATTTCTGCTTGAACTAGCATAAAATATGGGTCAAGCAAGAATTATAGAGTGAGCCAGAGGGAACTTTCTTCCTCCCTCTGGAGTTTAGTTGCATGCTAGGAAATCTGAAAGGAAAGATTAGACAGATTGTGCCAAATCATCCTGATGCCTAAACAACACTGTTTGTATTTATAAATCTCTGGAAATGTTTTTTTATTTGTTTATTTTTGTTTGCTTTCCCAAGCCAGTTGGTTTGGTCGAACACAGGCCCTACCATTTCCAAAGGTGACACCAAGGAGGGAAGAGAGTTTAGAAAGTAGTTTTGATTTTTTGTTTGTTTGAAAACCATACCAAAATCAAAACAAATTGAAGCATTCTTAAAACCTTGAAGATTAATTTAGTTGGCATCTAATAATTAAATTTTAAGTACAGTTTGAAAATTCCTGCACTATTTTTGTTCATGCTCAGATTTTGGGGATGAGTTATAAATTTTAAACTAGCTAATACAGGCGGGGTAGAAATAGCTCTCCACCCCGGGTAATAAAACAGGAGCCCCTGGAACAGGTTGGACAGATTAGGTGAGAAGATGAATCATTAAATAAGTTGTACAAGGGAATTATGATTGTGAGTTCCTTGGTGTGACCGGATTGTAGGAGAAAAGCCTGAAGCTACTTCCACAGACCTCTACTGGAAATTCCACTTTCAATAAAGCTCATTTGCGGCACCTGTCAAAGAAGAGTTTCATTTCCATGTGTTGCCTTGGCGAACTCTTACCAGGCCATCACTCTGTGGGAGCTGCTCTCTTGGGCAAGTGGTAGGGGGTGGTTGGGTTTGGGAGCAGGCGGGCGCTGGGAGTGGAGGAAATTGTTGTTTACAGTAGCTAATCAGTGTCCCATTTTCTTCTGGCCTGAAGTAGATGATCACTTCTGCTCAGAAGGAATTTAGCCTTCTCTGATTCTGAAAAGGACAGGGCCCATAAGAGAAAAAAAAAAACAGTTAGAGAAATCAGAATGAGTTTATTTGAAGTGAAGTATTCTTTAACATTGTATGTACGAGGTTAATTAAAACAAATTTTACATTCCTCATTTCCATGTGCTTGTGCAAAAAAGAAATTAAAACATTTAAAACAATAAAACTTTGAGCAGTTTAAAATAAAAAGAAAAGTGAAACTGTAATGATGTGAACACAGCAAACATCCAACAAAATCTGAGAGAATCAATTTGGATGATTTCAGCTTTCAAAGTTCTGTGCCTGTTTGGTGGGGAGGAGTTTTTTGTTGTCTGTGAAAATCAAAATGCTCTTCAAAAGTTTTGTTTTTTGAGAGATTCCATATTTTCTTAGAATGACTGATTATACATTTTCAAATATTTCTGTAGTCATTTATTGCCAGAAATATCCCCACTGTTTGTACAGAGTCACGGACAGCAAATGTGTAACTCTGAATGTATGACACTCTCTCTCGTTTATGGACCTTCATTCCTGAAGGTGAATCTACTGACCTGCCATCCATGGGTACTTGTATTCTTCTCCAGTAGTACCATGAGTCTACACCGAGCCATCCTCACACTTTGGTCTGGTCCACACTGGGAATTTATATGTTCATTTCATCTGACATGAATAGCAAGACCAACTGGCCCATCTAGATACCAAACTTGGCTTCCACATTGCTATGCCTTAGTCACATGATCTATGGGCCTATATACTGAGGATGGGACTATTAATATGTGATCTAAGAAGAAGAGAAAGGCCTATTATTTTAACACCAAGGTCTCTTAAATACTATTTATTTATGACATATCTTTACTTTAACAATAATATCCATGAAACCTAGTTTTAGTTTTTTAAATGAAAATTATTTTACTTTGGGCTTGAGTAAATTATTTTCAAAAAGTTAGTTCATCAGATTATCACCAGGGAGCAGGACCTGTGGAAATGAGACAGGCAAGTAAATGCCGATGGAGGATGGAAATGGGAAAGCTGATGGAGACACGGTGGGGGATGCGGGACAGTCAGGGTACACCATGAGCATGAGTTGGGGAATCTTCTCGTCTGAGTAGGAGGATTACGGAGCCAGGGAAATGCTACCCAAGGAGAGGTGGGGCAATGCCAAAGACACTATTTGGCTACTTAACGATATTGTCTAAATCCAGATATCTATCCATGAATTACTTTATTATTTTTCCACTTTTCATCCACATGTATTACATTATGTAAAGCCATAATATTTCACCCATTCTCCATTGTGCAAGATGATTTGGGGAGGGGGAGGAAACATGTGGGTATGGAATAAAATGAAGGGAATCTTCATGTGTACTGAACAAGACGGTGAAAATATTTTTTAATTTTTATTTTATTACTATGCTGTATGTGTAAATATGTAATTAATCACTGAGAAGCCAAAAACAGTGATGGATTTTAAATGAAAACACATTATATCAGAAATATAGAATTTTGACTAGGATGTTGAGTTTGTTAGATGTGTGAATAGGAATGACGTAGATATAATCATAGCTTTCATATTATACCTTAATGTGGTTTAAAGATACTAAAAATTACAATAAATTAATTAAATTGATTATAATTTGAACAGAAATTAATCAAAATATTAATATCAAAAATCAAACAAGGCAGATAAATGTTTCAGAAACAAATGTTTAGTAAAAGTCAGAAGCATGGGTCTCTTTTTTTTAAATAGATAATATAGCAAAATACAATTTGTACTATATTTCTTCTTAAAAATAGAAGTAAAATCTACTTTTCCTCATTGAAACATTTCAAGTGCAAAGCCACATTATTTGAAGTTCTATAGGTCATATTTTATTTTTATCTGACTCTATGTAAAAGGAACTTGAAATATAGAGAAATATAGA